CTCCCTGACTTTCTCTAGTGAAGGCTCCTCAAGAAGCATGAAGCCCTGGCCCAGGATTCTCAACAAATGGCCCACTCTGAGACCCCTCAAGAGTCTCCACTACCTCTTAATTCAAGGGTCTAAAGACTAGGCTGCAGTGATGAAGGAGGAATGCAGAGAAAATCTAGAAGAGGTAATGAAGAAGGAACTAAACAGCTGGCCTCTGTATAACCCAGGGGTGGTGAACACTTTGAAACCTCACTGTGACTGGTGCAGTGGCCTGGAGAATGACTTGAAAAGGCTAGGCCTTTGGGAAAAGCCAACACCGTGTGCCTCCTGACAGAATATAATACAGCGTACAAACCACCCCCCACCATGATGTATTCTAGCCAAAGAAGTTGAAGATGAATCTAAGTCTCGGATACTTAGAGCTAACTTAGAGAGGAAGGAGCTTAAGGAAACCACGGGAAGCAGACACATTCAGAAGGGGGGATATCCCACAGGATAACAGGCAGTTTCTTCCAGTATTATTTGCATAATCACACAAAGCTTTAACAGAAAAACAGTGCTAGAATGATGGCCCCTGGGGCTGGGGAAAGGGAGAAATGGGGAGTTACTGCTTAATGGGCATAGAGTTTTAGTTTTGCAAGATGATAAAGTCCTGGGGATCTGTTGAACATAATGTGACCGTAATTAACACTACTGAACTGCACACTTAAAAAATGTTTGAGATGGCAGTATCCAACTCTTGATCTCAGGGCTGTTAGTTCAAGCCCCACACTGGAGCTGTAGAGATTACTTAAAAAATTATTTTTTAATGTTTAACTATTTTTCAGAGAGAGACAGAATGCAAGCAGGGGAAGGGCAGAAAAAGAGGGAGACACAGAATCGGAAGCAGGCTCCAGGCCCTGAGCTGTCAGCACAGAGCCCGACGCAGGGCTTGAACTCGCAGACTGTGAGATCATGACCTGAGCTGAAATCAGACACTCAACCGAGTGAACCACCCAGGTGCTCCTATAGAGATTACTTTTAAAAAAATTTACTACAATTTAAAATAAAAATGTTTTAAAATAAAAGTGCTTCCAAATTAAAAATTAAACCATGTGTGCCTGGGTGGCTCAAGTCAGTTAAGCATCACAATTTGTGAGTTTGAACCCCACATCAGGCTCCACGCTGACGGTGCAAAGCCTGCTTGGGATTCTCTTTCTTTCCTTCTCTCTCTGCCCCTTCCATGCTTGCTCTCTCTCTCTGTCTCAAAAATAAATAAGTAAACTTAAATTAAAATTAAAATTAAACCAGAATATAACAGTAGTACCAAAGCTATCAGATATATTAGGAATTGGGTGGGGAGGGGAGGAAGGTATATCTCTATCCCAAGGATCACATAAAGCACTAAAACATAAGAGGAGGGGTGCCTGGGTGGCTCAGCCAGTTGGGCATCCAGCTCTTGATCTTGGCTCAGGTCAAGATCTCACGGGTTCATGAGTTCAAGCTCTGCATTGGGCTACGCAATGTCAGTGCGGAGCCTGCTTGGGATTCTGTCTCCCTCCCCTGCCCATGTGCTCTCTCCCTCTCTCAGAATAAATAAATTTTAAAAAATAATAATAATATAAATTTTTTTTAACTTAAAAAAAAAATAAACTTAAGCAAAATTAAAAAGAGGAGACTGCTGTAGATTAAGACTTGAGATCAGACAACCAAATGCAATTTGTGGACCATGTTTGGATCTGATTCAAATAGGCCAACTGTAAAAAGACATCTTAGCAACAACCAGGGAAATCTGATTCTGGCCTGGGTAAAACCCTTTGTTTGAGGTGACTTAATGTTTTCCTTTTAAAGTAGTATATTAAAGTTTCAAAAAACAGGGATGAGACAATTGAAAGAAATATATTAAGTGAATCACAATCCTGATATAATGCAGATTTTGCAAAAATGGTGAAGGGAGAAGTGAAATGACTGAGATTGATAAGAGCCTGAATAAACTGATAGCCTTGGGGAAAGAAGCAGATTTCACAGGACAGGAGAGAGAAGCCATCAAGAAGTTACAGCAGGGTTTACTTGGAAGTGAAGGGAGAGAGATTAAGGAGGGTATAACAAGTTAGAAGTGTTCAGAAAAGAATGGGAGCTTGTTGAAAAGGTCGAGGAGCCAACATGACAGGGTTGGAAGCTGGCCAATGCCATACAGCCAAAGCTGAAAGAATCTGAACAAATGAATACCAATAGTACTAAATTACAACCCATAAGACAAAGTAAATATCCATGAATCCATACTGCTATAAAAAAAATTACTGAGTAAATAAATAGGGAAGGCAACTCTTCCTCACAGGAGAATTCTAATTACTACATGTAGAAGGAAGGAGAGAAATAAAAATTCACCATTGCTATTGCAGTGACAGTAGAGTAATAATGCACAGAGTAACAATGGCTGTAGGCAAGATCCGCTTGCTAGATGCTAAACTTTAGTGACTTAAAGTTTGAGGAGAAGCTGGATACAGATGGCCCCCGACTTATGATGGCTCAACTTATGACTGTCTGACTTTACAATGGTGCAAAAGCAACATGCATTCGCTTGAAACCATACTTCAGATTTTGAATTTGGATCTTTTCCCAGGCAATCGTATGTGGTACAATACTCACTTATGATACTGTGCAGTGACAGCAAGCCCCAGCTCCCTGTCAGCCTCGCAACCAGAGTAAACCACCAGCACACAAACATTATGTACCCATGCAGTCATTCTGGTTTTCACTTTCAGTACGGTATTCAGTAAACAACATGAGATATTCAACACTTAATCATAAAATAGGCTTCGGATTAGATAATTTTGCCCAGCTGTAGGCTAACATAAGTTTTCTGAGCACATTTAAGGTGGGCTATGCTAAGCTATGATGTTCAGTAGATTAGGCACATTAAATTAATTTTTGGCTTACGATATTTTCAATGTATGCCAGGTTTTATCAGGAGAAAATCTCATTGTAAGTCGAGGAAGATCTGTGCTTGCATGGTCTCAAAGTTTCTCCGGCGAGAAATTTATTAACTACAAAGGGAAATCAATAGCAACTTTACAATAGAAAAACCCAGCGCACGCCATTTTAAATCAAGGCATCAAGGCTAATTACCATCACCATGACGAATGAGATGCATCGACATCGTTTCCCCTTATGGTAGTGGTGACAAGATCATTAATCAGTTTATGGTGTGTTGAAGAGGGGACTGTGATTAGAAAATAGGGCCAGCCCATGAGGTCTGTTTCATCAAGAACTTTGGAAATGAAGAAGGGGGGGTGTGCAGCTAACGCTCATTTGGCTCATCAAGTTCTGATGAGTCCTGTTTGTTTTTAATTTCATGACCTTGGAGCCGCCTATTGTAAACCAGCCTCAAAATGGCTGGAAGAGAAAAAGCTGGGCAGCGAGTAACAACAGCAACAACCCCCCCTCCAGGCAAGGAGTCAGGTTCTGGGACTCCAGGTCCAGCTGGTTACCATGTGTATTTGTATTTGACCAGCAGGCAAGGCAGTTATGGAGAGCCTTTATCATTATAGCAATATGGTATTAAAGAGATTTTTAGTGCAATTCAGGGCTCATACCTTTAAAAGGAAGTGTGTTCTGCATTGCATTAGGATTTTAGGTGAAGTCGGCATGCTACCAGTGCCAGAGCCCAAGAAAGCTCTCAAACAAAATTTGTTTAAAGGGAGAAGAAGGGAAATAAGAAAGCACAACCCCTTAGACAACTATAGGAAACTACCAAAAAACTCTACTTGATCAGTAATGGTTTTATGATCTATAAGAACAATTACAAGGAAGTGTTTAGCAAAAATATACTTTCACAAGTTAGCGTCTCAAAAAGTCATCATCTAATCCTAAATCCTGAGAGAAATGGCTATCAAAACTTCACCCTAAGAAAGCTTTCTGAACCTCTAATACTGTGAGTGTCTTCCTCTGATTTCACATGAAACAGTGCCGGGACTGCTCAAGAGGAAGGTGGCTGAACTCGGTATCCTACTGTACCTGTTCTTCTGAGAGGATATGGCAGGAATAAAGAAAGCTTGGGTTGAACATCAAAATATGAAATAAATGTCTCATGAAATCTCAAAAAAAACCCACAGAACCTGGGTTTAGTTCCTACTTCATCCCTTACAACCTAGGTCACAACTGACAACTTGGGACTTTCAAGTTTGCTTTACCTATAAAAACACAACAGATGTGCTCACTAGGTACACTGCAGCATTCCTTAAAATATCAAATAAAATAATATACATGGCAATGTTTTGTAAATTATGATGTACTGTGTAAATACCAATTACATCAGCTTTGTGGCTGAATCACTATAAGCACAGCTTGAAAATCTTTTTTAACCATGCTCTGGGTTGACGCATCCCACGTGGTGAAGTTACTGTATGTAAACACTTCTAGAAAAACTTGGGAATAGATTGCCTGCCTGGAGCCCAACTGCCAGTCACAAATTTTTTGTCACGGTGTCAAAATGAAGGTTTTTCCAATAAGATGAAAACAGAGAGGGAGGCAAACCATAGAGACTCTTAAATACACAGAACAACCTGAGGGTTGCTGGCGGGGTGTTGGGTGAGGGGATGGGCTAAATGGGTGATGAGCATTAAGGAGGGCACTTGTTGAGATGAGCACTGGGTGTTATATGTAAGTGACGAATCACTAAATTCTATTCCTGAAAACCAGACTACACTATATGTTAACTAACTTGGATTTAAATTTTTTTAAAACGAAGTTTTTCCATTCCACGAATACCACCAAAGAAAGGCAAAATCTATTAGCTTCTTTCCTATGCAACAAAGATATTCTTCGTAAGGATTTTCATCTGTGTGACTACTGACACACGTGCTGAATCTTCTTTTGCAGAAAGACTGTTGTATGCCCTTGCAACTATTCGCCATTTTAAAAATCACATCATGATGAAATTGTGAGGGATGGCAGAAGGCCTTCTCACATTCAGAGGGTCTCTCTCCAGAATGAAGCCAACGATGTTGAGAATGTTCTCTGACTAGAGGTTTTCAGTGGGAATTGCACTCATCAGCTTTCTCTTGAGAATGGAGCTGATAATGTTGAGTGAGATAGGAGGGTCGGCTGAAACATTTCCCGCACAGCTTACACTGGTAAGGCCTCTCTTGGGCGTGAATTCGATAGTGCTGAATGAGGTGTGAAGTCCTGCTGAAGGCTTTGCCACAGTCACAACACTGACAGGCTCTCTCTCCAACATAGTCATGTTTCCGCTGATAGCGAATGAAATACGTCTTAGTGCAGGGCAACCTAGGGGGAAGAGCTTTGGCTGCCTCGTGGGCTTTGAGATGTTGGAAAAGATGCACATCCTGGATAAAGGCTCTGCCACACTGGAAACATTCGAAGTAGTCTTCCTGACCCTGAATTCTTACACGGCCACAGGTGTTTGTGTGCCGGGTGAAAGACTTTCCACCTTTACCGCATCCACGAGACTTCTCACTGGAATGAGTCCTCTGACGTCTGGTGAGGTGTGGCATGAGGTTGAAGGCTTCTCCACATCGTTTACATTCAAAGGGTTTCTTCCCAGCATGCAACTGCTCATGTCTCTCACGAGCTCTTTGGGTGATAAAAGTTCTTTCGCAAAATCTACATCTGTTGTCTCTGTTCTCTTGGAGCAAAGGCTCATCAACCACTGGCTGGGGGCTGGTGACAATTCCAGGAGTAGCACATTGCTGGGGGTCCTTTCCTGGAGGACCTTCTGACTGTTTAGTGAGATCTGAGCTTCTTTCAAAACCATCACTGTCACGGCCTCTTTCCTGAGCGGGGGTCTCCGGCTCACTCATCTTTATAGAACTTGAAAGTTTCTCCTGGTCGACCTGGTACAAGTCTGTTGGACCATCAGGAGAAGACTCTCCTTCGTGGACACTGAAGAAGTTACCTACCTGTAAATCCTCCATTCCCACCCCCAAGGATGGCTTTTCCACAGGCAGGCTTTGCTCTGGAGTTAGATCTTTGGTTTTAGGTCTTTTTTCCCCATCTAAAAGAAATGTAAAATTTCCTCTATTCTTTCCTCACAGAGACACATTGTAGAAACCAAAGAAAGGGAAAAAAAGAACTGGTCTCCCGCAGATTGACAGGGATTTAAATGTTTTGCTAAAAGTTTGGATTTTCTTCTGAGAGTAGTAGTAGTCAAAACTTTATGCTTTATACAAAGGCAACCCCCTGGGTGGGAAAGAAACTGAAGCCAAGGAAATCAAAGGTGGCATCCTGGCAGACATCACGTTGTGTGAGCAGAGGGCAGATGAGATAGCAGAGCCAGACTACGATCAGGCACGCATCAGGATGGGGATAACCAGACCCATCACAGTGGATCAGATGTTTCGGGAAATGGTCTTTGAGGAGCTGACTCAAACATGGAGGACTGAGATAGCTGTTCTGCCAGCTCTCCTCACAGAGTCCCCCAAACCTGTCCTCTACAATCCCAGCACCGGCCTCCACGAGCTTTAGCCTGCAAGAGCAGACTCCCAACTGGTTTCTCTGCTGCTCTTCCTAAAGCCCATTTTCCACAGAATCACCAGAGCGATCTTTCTAGAATAGTGCTGCCCAGTGGAATGCCCTGAAATGAGGTAAATCATCTATATTTTTGCCGTGTGATATGTAGCCACTAGCCACACATTGGTAATGAACACTTGAAATGCGGCTGGTGTGAGTGAATTTAAATTTATGTACTTTTAATTGGTGTAAATTCAACTACATGTGTCTAGTGGCCACTACATCAGACAACACAATTCTATGGTGTCAATAATAACACCTCATTCCATGGCTCAAAACCTCTGTCTGTCTCCTCAACCTCATCTCCTGTCCCCTCCACCTTACTCAGACCATATTGCTTTTCTTCCTGTTTCTGGAACACCCAAGCTCATTCCAACGTTGGGGCCTCTGAATTTGCTATTCCCCCTACCTGTAACATTCTCCCTCAATATTTCTATGTGGCTCCCCCTCCGTCTCGTTCAAATATTCCTCAGTGAGTTCTTTCCTGACGGTCCTGGCTTCAGCAGCCTCCCATTTGTCACTGTCTGCTTTACACTCAGACTCTATTATTTGCCTGGGTATCAACCATCACCCCCATTAGAAGGCAAGCTCCATGGGGGAAGGGATTTGTTACTGTATCCACAGAACCTAGGACAGGGCTGGCCCACCACAGAGGCTCAGTAAATATGTGTGGAATGACCGAGTGAGTCAAAGAGTGAATGAACAGACTAAAGAAGACACTGAAGGCAACACGGAGGCAGGTAGAAGAGTCCCCACGGTAGATCCTTGAATTTTATTGGGACATTCACTTCTCTGCCCATACAGGACAAGACAGGGAGGGCTGCACTGATCAGCACTAGACTGGGCACAGCTACTGGTTCAGGGGTGGGACAGGACCCAAATGGAACACTGAAGCTTCCTCACTCATGACAATGCTTCTCGGACTCACCTGCTTTCTCTTTCTCTTTCTTTCTCTGTCTCTCTCTGTCTGTCTCTCTCTTTCTCTCTCTCTCCTTGCATGGAAAGAAGAAAGAAGATCTAGGATTTGTTGGCAGAGTGACAAGAGGAAATGAAAGTAGGCCTTTGATAACATCACTGAGCCCCCATTTTCAATGATCCCTGAGGTCCACATGAGCGGTACTGTAAGCTAATAATCCCCCTTCCAGCTTATACAGTGTTGGTGTGGTTTTCTATTGAGAGGCACTGAAGGACAACAACGATCCTGGCTGATACACAGTGACCCAACTCAGAGAAGGAAAGGATTTCATAAAGATGGCAAATGTTATCATATTGTAGCCACAGAGTTGGAAAAGGTAAAGTCTAGAAGGTTCTTGTCCTGAAGTCATAACGATGTTGGTAGAACACAGTGTGAGAGAGGGAGAGGGAAAGACAGAGAGAGTGTGTGTGTGTGTTGAGCATAAAGGTGGAGGGAGGGCGAGGAGATGTATGGGGAAAGGAGGAAGGGGAGGGGGACCTCCTGCGTGTCCAAATCACAGCCTCGCATGAGGGAACATAGGAAGCAAGTGGAAGGAAGAGTGGTGTCATGCCAAGGTTTTCTCTTGTCTGGGATTAAAAAGAGAAGGGATACCTAGGACTTAGCTGCGAGGCAAGGGCGTGAAAAAGTGCAGGGGTTGGAACACTAGAGAAAGAACACGCTCCCTGGAACCGAGGCAGGGAGAAAATGAGTCAACTAGCAAGAAGAAGAGAGAAAATCTTTAAGGTACTCTCTGGGAGGGTGAACCTCAGAAAGCCCTGAAAAGCAAGCCCCGCTGAGCGGACCTACGGATGCCCTCACACATCCCATGCGATAGCCCACGCAGCTCGCCACCCATCATTCGCATTCCGGTTTCCTATGGGCTCTCGCTTGTCTCTACTCACCGTGATGCATCTCTGCTTATAGCTGCTTCCTCATCACATAACTGACTCCCTCCTCTTCCTAGCTGTAGAATAGTAATGTGTAAGTGTAGAATTAGAACTGAGTACCCTTTGAAGAAGAGGCTCCTCTTTGGGGTGTCTTCCCTGACCCACACTAATTCCACACCTGGCTCTAAAAAGACTCTGCGATAACCATAGGAAGATGCAAATCACAAGAAAAAAAAATGAGCCCATTTTAAAAGGTTGATCAGAGCAAGGGACAGGTTGGCATTGTCTGGAAGCATTTTTGGCTGTTCATAGTTCCGAGGAAAAGGCTATGGCAATGCTCCACGTAGCAGAGTGACGTAGGGAGGCACAAACATCTTAAATGCCAGGACATTCCTCCCCAGCAAGAACACGTATCAGGCCCACATGTCACCGTATTGCCACATGCTAAAAAACTCTGCTGTGAATGAAAACCTGGTGACGGTGTGCTGGGCCCTCTACTTCACCTGGGGGAGATCTGATGTCATGAGCTGACTAATAAAAGTCGACATGTGGTTCTCTTCCTCTGTCGATACCTTCATTCCCTTGGTGATGAAATCGTTCCTTTTCCCCCCCTACTTCTGTATTTCCCAAACTTAAGTCATTTGCATACCACCTGCCATGGTCTGGATTTCCTGTCCTATAAAAATTCATATTGAAATCTAATGCCAGTGTATGTGGTGGTGTGATAGGAAGAGTGATTCGGTGCTAGGAGGCCTAGTCATGAGGGTGGAGTCCCCTACACGGAGGGATTAGTAACCTATAAAGAGAGGCAAGCATTCGCCTGCCCTTTCCACCTAGTGTGAGGAGCCATCAGAAGCCTGTGACCTAAGAGAGCCCTCACCTGCTGATGTGCTGGCCCCGATCCTTGAACTTCCAGACTCAGGACTGTGGCCAAAGACATCTGTTGTTCGGAAGCCAAAGCCATTCTGTGGTGTTCTATTATAGTAGACCAAAGCATACGAGACCACCCGTTATTTCGCTTAGCCTGTCTGTCTCCACGGGCATGGCATTAATAACATCCACAAGAACGAGAATCCTCATCCATTATCTATCTAGCCGCAGACCTGGCACGCTGACAAATTTATTACCTGACTCATGAACCCCTATCTGTGACCATTTAAGATAGTGTTTAGTGTTTAATCTTTTCTTTCTTTTTAAATTTTTTATCCTTATTATTTGAGAGAAGAAGAGAGCATGTGCTAAGTGCACAGGGAGGAAGTGAAAGGAAAAGGAGAGAATCCCCAAGCAGCACACAGACCCTGATGTGAAGGCTCGATCTCATGATCTGTGAGATCATGACCTGACGGCAATCAGATCGGACACCTGTAACTGATGGGAAGATGCTATATACTCTCTTTATAGATTACCTCTTTTTTAATACATAATTTATTTATTATTATTTTTTTTTTTAATTTTTTTTCAAGCGTTTATTTATTTTTGGGACAGAGAAGAGACAGAGTATGAACAGGGAGAGGGGCAGAGAGAGGGAGACAGAATCGGAAACAGAGCTCCAGGCTCTGAGCCATCAAGGCAACCAACTTGGGAGGTTTACGAACTCACACGTGAGATGTGACGCTAGCCTGAGTGGAACAGCTAACCGACTAAGCGCCGCAAAGGCGCCCATAAATACACTATATAATTTAAATGGGTTAATATCATGTTAAACAAACCACTGGTTTATAGCAAAAAAAAAAACCCTTAAGGTGTGAGCAATAGCTCCAACGAATGAGCAACGTTACTGAGTCTTTACGCGACCCGGTCTAAGGCTTAGAGGGCCTCAGGTCTGCTTTCTCTTTACTCAGATGAATCAACAATATTTACTACCCAAAATACCCTCCGCAACCACCATACCCACCCCACACTGGGACAGAACCATGGACATCCTGGGTGACTATGTAAGATCTTAACACCCCAAACCTTCAGTGATGCAAGAGGTCCAAGCATCCAAGACAGAAATCTTCTCTGGTCACACTGCATGAGGGCTAAAAGAGGTAATTACAAACTATTATTCCCCTCATAAGTCACAAATATGGTATACTGAGAGAAGAGTCCTGGAAAGCACTCTTTTTTTTGCCTTCTTTGAGCCAATCCAAAATCACAGTTCACGATTACACACTTTTTGTGCCAGGGTTTGAAAGAGCACCCCAACCCCTGCCCACCCCAGGTCTCTGACTTCGACAAGGACGCACAACTTGCTGCCAGTGGAATGCTGTTTGGTTGATTGTGTGTTGTCGGTCTTGAGGAGCCTCCAGGATAAAGCCACTAAAATGAGAATCCTGGCATTAGCACAAAAACATGTAGCCTGTCGGAGAGCCACACCACCTCTGGATGTGGAAGAGAGACTTGGGGAATCTCTGACTCTAAAAAGTTTAAGTCAGCTGAACGACGCTTTAGCTCCAGTGTTCATGATTCGCGTTTGCATTCAAAAACCAGCGTGGCGTGCCTGGGTGGCTCAGGTCAAGTGTCTGACTTCAGCTCAGGTCATGATCTCCCACAGTTCATGGGTTGAGCCGCGTGGAGCTCAATGCTGCTGACAGTCAGAGCTGGAGTCCCTTGCTGTCTGTGCCTCTCTCTCTCTGTGCCCTCCTGGCTCATGCCCTATCTCTCTGTCTCTCTGAAAATAAATAAACATTAAAAAATTTTTTAAAATCACCATGAGCCTTCTGCCAAGACCGATGAGGCAAACCCCTGTCTGGCAGCTACAGTGCCATTTAATTTCGAGGGGGAGCAGATCCTGGGGATCGTAAGCTAGGGTCACACCCAGTCAGCTTCCGCCATAGCTGTGTGGTTTGAGCAAGTAATTTGACTTTCCCTTATGTAAAGTTTCCTCATGTATGTAAAGTGGCAGTAATAGCATAAACAAAAATATATGCTCCCCTCACCGGAACTAATGAGAGAATAAAGGGAGTTAGGACAAGGGTCAGTGCTTAGACTATGTGCCTGACAACACTTTAAGTACTCAATTTTACCTCTAGATGAGTAACTGAATTTGATATTAAAATACTGTCTCTGGTGCATGGGTTGAAATTCAGACGAGCATTGGTGAATCACCGTTACAGGCGTTCTGATGACGGGAGAGGAGAGGAGAAGAGGTGAGAACACCCTTATCGGACAAACAGGATCCATGTAGAAGAACGGCCTTACCTAAGGGAGACCAGGTTCCTGTAATTCTCAGCATCCCACCTCCGGGGTAGGAATTCCTCTGGCTAGCACTAAGGTAGGTCAGTTCCTCGCGAAGCCTGACCCATCCTGGAAAGTCACCACCACCAATCCTAAAATACGCAGAAACAATTCTAAATGATCAACATCCGGATATCCCCTAGGGGAGAGGTGTGATGAGAAGGTACTGAACATAAAAGCATTCAGACCGGACTGAAAGCTTTCTAAAGCTTGAAACATCCCAGAGGGTGTAGGGACTTATAAATAAGTACCTTGTCTGAAAAGTACCGCAAGGAAAGAGGAAAATTTCACAACAGTTCCTAGCACTAACTTCTACTTTCCGAATTTGGAAAGTTGGAGGAAGAAAGATCTTTTATACACCCTAATAGAAATATGTAATATGAGTAACTTGGAAGCTGAGCAGTATACCTCAGCCTCAGGAATCAAAGAGACTTAGAAGTTTAAAGTCTGGCTCTGAGTTCTTAGCTGTCTTTGTGAGTGTGGGCTCTGAAGCTCTCCATGACTCATCTGCAATAAAAACCCAAAACTCATAATATTCAATCACATATTCAACACGAGAAATACAAATAAGCAACAACAGTACCATTTA